GTGTCCAAGTCATTGTCTTGGTGTCTCTCATCATATCATGAGTCTCACCAATCCACAGAACAAGATCGATCATGGGACACATCATCGGCCTGTATGCCACACAACACCGAAAAGGAAAAAGCAGGAAAACCCTTAATCGAGCGGTAAGTTTATAGACCCCGAGCGACCGCGGGCCTTCCATGATGACGCAACTCCGCCCTTCACTGACACACCCACACCGACTCCAATCCCTGATGCCTTGCCCAAAGATGCGGGGGGATGTTTATTTTCCTGACCACCTGCTCGACCTGTCCAGTGCTGTTGGCTGTTGGAAGCAATAAGACATCTTCATCCTCCAAGACTTCTCCTCCACTCAGAGCTTTCCCCCCATCTGCGCAATCGCTCGGACTTTTTTCCGATGCATTGATTTTGTGCGGCCCTTGGCCTATCCATCAGCAAGACGTCTCCTGACCCGCAATATTACAGGGTTGATCAAGTTGGTTTTGATAGAGCACAGCTATTTGATCAAGTTGGTTTTGATGGAGCAAAGCTACGTGTGATAGAGAAGAATCGTTGCGGAATCGGAATTTCGATGCTCGTCAGTTGTTGGAATCACATTCTGAAAATGCCCCGGCCCCGCAGATCTTGCAGCTGTCCTAGGTAGTAGGATGCGGAGGTTTGGCGCTTCGTCAAAGTTACTCAGCACGGCGCACAGCCTGTAAATAAGTTGTACGCTGACATGAAAATATTAAATATATGTATGTGTATGTATGTGTATATGTAAATGTATGTACATCAAGACTGTTTGTATAAGCGTGATACCTTATACATTATTTGCAGATAGTCTGTTACAGAATGCTGGCCCGTCATGTTCGACTTCTGTGTTTTGCATCCAGCCTATTGCACAATGCGCCCGCCCGTATGATCCATTCTCCGTGACTCTGGAGCGAGGGAAGAAAATGGAAGGGTCACGTGTCAAGGAAGCGGAAGCAATTCTTCGCAGACTTTAGCGATGAAATGCCAGACGAAGAAGCAGCACCTTGTCTGCATCAAAGCGGGAGGGCCGCTAGGGGTGCAATCGCATCCTGTTGGCAGTGGCGAGTGTTGAACTTCAAGGATGCCGAGCTACCTAGGACCAAGTATACGAAGATGTCATTGGGTGAGAACAACATGTAAGGCAGTGAAGAACCAGCCAATGGCACAACACTGTTGCAAACAGCCTGCCAAAATTTGGATTCCATTCCGGGCGTCCTTGTCGCAAAGGGGGTGCGCGGCACTTCGGCTGCGACATCTAGGGCCGGAAATGTGCCTCGCGTAAGGCTCTCGTTTATTGGGCGGAGCTCGGCGAGAACACGCTGCATTTGTTCGAGCTTTTCCTGCAGTGCGGGAGCCTTGCTTGCAAGCCTTGACCAGTTCGAAGCTTGTTTGCTTGGGAAGAAACGTGCAGTACATGCAGTTTTTTGTGCGCACTGCCGATGTAATGATCAGAGGAGTTCGGAAAACATTCCATGATGTTGCAGTAGTAGACCCAAACAGCTGCCCGGAATATTCTAACTATCTGAACGGCCTTGAGCTGAGCCTCGGCGAATGGCTTTCCGGGCGGCTTACCTAATGACCTAGCGCGTAGCTTTAGCAGATGCGTTCATACTTGCGCAAGCGTCTCCGACACGAAGGAAACCCGTGGCTGCCGTTGCGGCAGCTTCAGAGTTGGGTCGTCCAGAAGAAGCACTGCAGCTTCTCCACAAGTGTGGCTCGCCGAAGTGAGTAGGTTTCGTCTCTTTGTCTGGGGCAAGAGGATTCGTTGTGGAATGGAGTACTGAGGTATTTTAATGGATTGTTGGCTCCAAGAAATTTGGTTCGTGGCTGCTGGCTAGATGGGGTATTCCGGTCCCAAGGCTGAGGCGGCATGTTGGCTGATGGCCTTCCTCATTGATTTTGGGGGAACTCTCTAGACTATGGAGCAGACGCAATGAGGCTGTGCTTGGAATTAAACATGGGTGAGGCTGGCAGCTCTTGTGAATCACCCTTTCGGTTCTTGTGCCTTAACCTCGTTTGATTTAAGACAGTCTGCGTCGTGTTTGTGCCGAGATTCGGAAGTGCAGCGAGTATAGCTTCGTATCTCAGATATCGTTCCAGGTGAAAGCCCAAACTTAGATGTCAGGGGAGGGAGTCATCAAAGAGGTCGAGGCCTGTGCGCCAGCTGTCCCACGCGATGGGGAGAATCCCAAGACCTTTTCGTGAAGAAGAACGACAGACCCAGCAACCTAAGTGGGTTAGTGAAACGTTTTTCGAGCATGAGCACAGTGAGTGTTCTGGTCGTTGTTGGGAAGGCACACCAGTCTGCCAGCAGGTGGTGCACTGCCCCCACGTTCAGCTCTTTTTCGAGCAAGACTGCATCCGAACACACCGCATGTAGACCACACACCATCTGCGCAAGACCGGATTGCAAGAAGCTCGAACATTGACACGTTGAACTCGGACTGGTGACCTGCCCTGGCCCTGCCCTCTGTCAGCCGAGGCCAAGTATCTTGGGAGGACTTGCCATTGTCGCAGGGAAGCAATGCCGGAGCGTGTGGTTGATTCTAGCTGACTGCTGAGTAGTGGGTTGAATTCACACTCATGTGCTTTTCGGCGGTTTCCGCTAGCGCTTGGCCAAAGCCAAGAAACCTCCGTGCCCTAGGCTGGGTAGATTGGCCTAGATACGCGCTTGACCACAACTCGGGTGAGAGTCAACTGCCCGCAGAGGACTGGCACGGTTATACTTTGGATATTCTGATGACGGCAGTCCAGCAGAAGAAGCTGAGCTGCTCGACAGCACTGATCGTTCGTGCGTATAACACAGTTGATTTTTCCTGTTTTTAGTTCATGCAGACAGAAGCAGAGGCGACAATCAAGCGCGGGGACTTGGCAAAGCCAGCCGTACACTCCGAAACTCTCTGCCTGAAGGCGGGAGTTGTATATACCTTTGGGAACAGCCATGTTGAGAGCACAGGTTGGTGCGGGGTGCGGAGGCTTTCGAAGCTTCTGTTTGTATCATGTCCTTACACAGAACGTAGACATCCAGGGCTCGTGCCTGCAGATTTGTGTGGTTGTATATCTAATTGTATGTGTATATGTATGTGTATATATATATATATATAGTGTGTGTGTGTGTGTGTGCATGTCTGTGTGTGTCTCGCCTCGCGTTGAGGAGAATTGTCTAGTGGAGTCGTGCGGAAAAGCATTCCCCGCGGGAGCGGCGCCACAGCAGCCATCCTATGCTTGTTTTACAGAGGATCCCGTCCCCCGTAAGCCAGATTCAGTGTAATTTCCGATGGTGCCACTTTTTGATGTCGAAAAATTGAAGCGCACCAGGACCACGGTTTGGGGGCGGGCAGCATGTAAGGTTGGACGTCCGCCTGAAGTGGCCCGTATACGGCGAGGAGCATAAGCATCATGCTCCTGAATCTCGCCAGTACTTGGAGGAAGGCGATTTGCGATTTGCTCGTCCTCCTGAACCTGTCAGTGCTTTCGGGAACTCTGGCCAGGGAAAGCATTTCGGCCGTGGTCCTGAACCAGCCAGCACTTGGGGAAAGCATTTCTGGCCGTCAATCCGACCTGTACTCGGAGGAAAGCATGTTGAAAGTGTCGTGGTGGTTTCCTGGTAGTCTTTGTTGCGTGGTCTCCTGGTGATCTGGGTGGTGGTCGTGGTGGGCATTGTCGTCCTGGTGGCAGTGATCCTCTTGGTGGTCCTCGTGGTCGCCGTGGTCCTGGTCCTTTGGGTGATCGTGGTCGTCATATAGTCGTCGTGTGATCTATTACTGTGGGGGGTCTGCGCTGGCATAGTTGTTGTATGTGTTTACATGCATGCAAATCTCTCTCTATCAGTCGCGCAGAGCAAGTCCACAAGTGAGACCACTCGTCAGCAACCCTTTCAGCTCTTAACTCAAAGCCTCTAAACTGGCCCAAGCTTTCCTATCCTGTGCTAAAGGCTGTAGGGTTCTCCAAAGGTCAGTGTTACCAAAAAGTCTGGAATGCGCGGCAGCCACCTCTTGCTCGGATGGATGATGATGGATATCATGGCTTAACTGATAGGCAAATAAAACTACGTATTATCGTATATATATATATAGATATATATACATATAATCATATACATATACATACATATATATATATACATATGGCCACACCCCCTTGGACCAACCTCCGCCATGAAACTGATCATGTCCGTACTTGTGTTGCTCTGCGATCTGATATCGAAAACCCTGTAAATACCGATCAATTCTGTGTTGGTTCTTATGGTCTTAAGCTTATATGAGTCATAATAAAGTCTCAAAAAACCTGTTACAATTTCGTGACTCTATTTCTCGTGCTGTTACGTACTCTCCTGTTCTCTCTCACCGTCT